CAGGAAACTGAAGTGGGTGGACCCCTCCTGTTGTCCAGGGGAAGAGTACTTCAAAAGGAATTCTTTATTGAAAGGAAGTGATCCAGGTACTAGCCAAAGTAGAATCTAAGATGCTTCCAGGCATACAGTAATAGATAAAGTGAGTTAGAACCCCTCCCCTTATTCTGATGTGGATTTAGTCAAACAAAGAGACAACAAATTAATCCCCCCCCCCCCCCCGCTTTTTCTGGGAATGTATCTTAGAAAAGTTTCCCAGGAAGTTTCTTTCAGAGCTGGAATTTTTATGGTCCCTTCTCCTCTTGCTATCTCTCCAAGAGGTGACAAGTTTCTAGACATCTGGCTCCAGTCCCCCAATTGTATATCATGTGCAAATTATACAGATTCAATACAAGACTTAAGATATTCAGATTACATAAAAAAGGATTACTTGTACCAACTCCTCCCTTCTTCTTCCATTGAAGAATGGCAGATACACGGATCTGACAAATTGCCGTCCTCAAAAATTTGAGAAATCCACTTGGAAGACATAAACCATATGTTACATTTACAACTTAGGATGGTTTGTGAGGGTATTTCAGGTGGAACTTCCATAGTAATGTGGGTGCTTTTACATGTCGTTTGGCTACCCACTCATTTTCTGAGGAAGAAAGATGTTTCCAAGCTACTAAATATTGGGTGGATCCACGGTGAGTGCGTGAATCAAGGATATCTTTAATTTCAAAACATCGTTCCCCATGTACCATAATGAGAGTTGGAGGTGTGGGAAGGGGGGTGGGTGTCTAAGTTTTGAAGTGATCTCTGGTTTGAGTAGGCTACAGTGAAAGACTGGATAAACCTGTCTAAGTGTCTTGGGAAGTAGAAGCTCTACCGTAACAGGATTAATAATTCTGGAGATGGAAAATGGCCCAATGAATTTAGGTCCCAGTTTCTTAGAGAGTTGCAATGATTTTAAGAATTTTGTAGACAAATATATGCGGTCCCCAACTTTGAATAGTTTAGGATCACAGCATTTTTTGTCTGCTTGAACTTTAAAAGCTGTTCTAGCCTCTTGTAAGGCTAGTCTGACCATTGGCCAAGTGGTTTGCAAATTAATTATCCACTCCTTAAGGGAGGGAATTTCAGGTTCCTTGGTAAGTAGCTCTGGCATGGGGTTGAATTCTTGGCCTGTGGCTACCTGGAATGAGGTGAAACCAGTGCTGCTGTGGACCGAGTTGTTGTATGCTACCTCTGCAAAAGGAAGAATTGTCCAATTGTCCTGTTGGTAATTAATAAAGCATCTTAAGTATTGTTCTAATACGCTATTAGCTCTCTCTGTCGAACCATTAGTTTCCGGATGATTGGATGAGGACAACCTCTGGGTGGAGCCTAATAGGTTTAAAAATGCCCGCCAAAATGTGGATGTGAATTGTATACCCCTAATCTGAGATAACCCGTTGGGGACCATGGAGGCAATAAATGTGTATTAAAAACATCTTTGCCAAGGCCTTGGCTGTTGGGATCTTTTGGCAGGGTACAAAATGAACCTGTTTTGAAAAAACATCAGTTACAACCCAAATAACAGTATTTCCTGTACTTTCAGGGAGCTGCACTATAAAGTCCATAGAGATCTCTTTCCTGGGTGCTGAAGGTTCTGCCACTGTTTGTGGCCCAGGAGATTTTCCTTGTCTTCTTTTTGCAGCAGCACAGATGGGGCAATTAGCAACATAGTTTTCAATATCCTTTTTGAGAGATGGCCACCAAAATTGTCTTTTGATGAGGTGCAGGGTTTTTACAAATCTGAAGTGTCCCGCTATTTTTGAGTCATGGCATCATTTCATGAGGTCCATCCTCTGGCTGACAGGGACGTAAAGTTTGTTTTCTACCCAGGCTAGACCATTTTTGAGTAAGCAAATGTTTTTGTTAGCCTGGAGCCAGTCGTCTTTAAGTAGTGCCTCCTTAAATATTGAAGTCGTTGCATTGTCAGTCAGTTATTCTTTCTTCTCTTGTGCTCAGGTGATTACTTTGGCTGCAAGTTGGGTTGGTTTGGATCATGGGTTTTATAACTTCAATCTTTTTGCTGTTGTATTGGGGTTTCCTGGACAGGGCATCTGCCAAGAAATTTTTTCCCCCAGGAGATATTTGAGAGTGAAATTAAACTGTTTAAAATATTGAGCCCACCTTGCTTGTTTTTCTGAGAGTTTCTGTGGAGTTTTCAGGGCTTCTGTATTTTTATGATCAGTCCAGACTTCAAAGGGGATTTGGTTCCCTTCTAGGAAATGTCTCCATGTGAGGAGTGCCCATCACACAGCATATGCCTCTTTCTCCCATATGGCTCATCTTTGCTCAGTTCCTGTCAGTTTCTTGGAAGTATAAGCGCATGGTTGCAACTGTCCATGTTCATTCTTTTGGAGTAGAACTGCTCCAATTGCGTCTGCTTGGATGACAAATGGTTGTTCAGGGTCTGGGTGTTTCAGCATTGGTTCTGCTGAGAACAGTTGTTTAAATTTTTTGAATGCCGCTTGGCATTCCATCATCTAGGTAAGGGGTTGCCTTGGCTTGGGTTAGGGTTTTTGTTTTTAACAAGTTCATGATGGGGAGGGCTATATTCGCAAAAGCTGGAATGAACTGGCAGTAAAAGTTTGCAAAACCCAGGAAGCTTTGCAGTTGTTTGCGAGTATGGGGCGGCTCCCAATCAATGACAGCTTTTACTTTTTGTGGGTCCATCTCTATTCCCTCGTGGGATATTCTATATCCCAGGTAGTCAATTTTTTCTTGATGGAATTAACATTTAGAGAGTTTTGCATGTAGTTTGGCATTTTGGAGTTTTATGAGAACTGCTCGGAGTAACTTGATGTGCTCTTCTTTTGTTTTGGTGTAGATTAAAATATCATTGAGGTAAACTAGAACCCCTTTGTACAAAAAATCATGGAGAGCCTCATTAATTAATTGCATAAACATGGCAGGTGCTCCTTGTAGTCCGAAAGGGAGCACTTTAAATTGGTAGCATCCCAGTGGGGTGTTAAAAACCGTCTTCCACTCATCCCCCTCCCTTATTCTGATGCAGTAGTATGCCTCTTGTAGGTCTAACTTTGAAAAAAAATTCCTTTAGAGAGGTCCTTCATGAGGAGGAGTGAGTACATATTTTTCACACTGATGGTATTTAAATTTTGGTAATCAACATATAAGCATAAAGAGCCATCTTTCTTTTCACGGAATAATACTGGGGCTGCTATTTTTGGTCCGGTAGGTTCGATGAAACACCTTTTTAGATTTTTATCAATAAATGCTCTGAGTTCTTTTAGTTCTCTGGGGGACATGCAGTACTTCGGTTTTGGAAGTTTAGCCCCTGGTGGGATTTCAATGGCGCAGTCAGTAGCGCGATAGGGTGGGAGTTCATCAGAAGCCTCTTCGCTAAATACTTGGGCTAAATCCTGGAACTCTTTGGGGATGTTAATGGGTTCAGCCAGCTGGCCGGCCATGGCTGGTTCTCTGTTCTCTGTTCTCTTTTTCTTTCCTCTGGGCTGTTTGCAAATGCTACATGTTTCTGGAAATGTATGGTTCCTCTCTTCCAGTTTATTTTTGGATTCCATTTCCATAGCCATGTGAGTCCTAGGACTAGTGGCCCTTCCATTTCTGGGGCTACAATGAATGTGAGCATCTCACTATGGTTCCTTAGTCTTATTTTCAATGGTTCTATGACAAAACTGGCCTGCTCCCCCCCCCCCCGCTATAGTTCCATCTAATTGGCAGAAAGCAATGGGATTTTCTATTTTCCTTAGTTGGATTCCCAATTTCCCTGCTAGGGTGGGGTTGATTAGGCACCGGGTGCATCCTGAATCCAGTAACGCTGCTACTTCCTCCCCCTTCCCTCGGCTGGGGATAAACAGTCTTAGGGGTAGAGTGAGTGGTTCAGTTGGGTTGCTTACCAGCAGGTCATCTTCTGGATCACTTTCGGACTGGCTCAGGTCTCCTCGGGGTGTTGGGGATTCTTCCTCTGAGTTGGGGGGGGGACTGGAACCTCACAGCTTCTTGGGTTCTCAGGCCAGTTTCTTTTCCTCAAGGGTTTCGTTTTCCAGGTTTCCCCCTGATGGGTGATCTGGCTTTCTGGCAGGGTTTTTTGAATGGCATTCTGCTGCACAGTGCCCCTCTTTTTCACACTTAAAGCAACCAGATGGTCTTGGGGTCATGATGGTTTGGGGTTTGAAAAACTCCCGCTTTCCCTGGGGTGGGGATCTTCTCCAAACTCTGCCACTGCAGTACTGGTTATGGGCCATGTCTATCTCCGACTCCTCTGCC